GAGACAAACTGGGAGGAAAAGGCCTCTCGAACAAATACTTTCATTTAAGTATTGAATTACACGAAAAAAAAAAATTCGAAACTACTTTTATATGAACACTGAATTATACAAAAAAACTTTTTCCTATTCAGTTTTCATGAAGATGGGCAGAAGAAAAGCCAAAACCTTTCTTCCTCAAAGAGCTTAAAGACATCAACAAAAATTGATAAACCAAAGGAAAATTTTGAACAGATAAACTTTTGAAAATGTACCCGATAAATTCATAAGTTAATTATTTGTTTGGAGTATCATGAGGTTTTACAATAACTGTCACCAAATTCACACTCGAGTGAAGGTTTTCTTTATTATTCGAATATAATCAACGTTAATCAACTAAATGTATGATAAACGTGTTCCTCATCTTATCACTTCAAATTTTCACATTATACTAATGTTAAAATACTCAAAGAAGGTGAACAGTGTGTATACATCTAATTTAAGTAAACTTTGTTTGTTTTGGGTTTTGGAATGAGTTGAAATTGTAAAAAAGTATTCTACTCGACACGACTTGCCATTGAAAAATTTTTATCCCCTCTAGATTTTCAGATACGGGTCCACAGGATTTTCTTTATATTTCTCCTTACCAGTTTAGGAAATGTTCTGGACCATCTCCAATAAAACTTTATGGAATCATTTGAAATTCAAGGGGAATATTTTACTTGGTGATTCTTTTCGAAGAAATGTAATCATTTGAAAAAGTTTACAGGAAGCCTCAAAAAGTAATAATTCTGAGGCCCCTTTTCAGCGTAGCCAAATTCGTAATATTCCTAAAGTATACGCTGAAAAATGTCATTTTTATAGCCAACCAGCTCAGCGAATATCTCAACCATGGTACTGAAGGAATTCAAAGTTAACCTACTACCGTTTACTTGGAACTTCGAAGCAATGAGAAACACCAATTTCCGAAAATACATCTCTTCTCAAACTTTAAACATCAATTGCATACGTCACATGTTGAGGGTGATACCTCACGTTTCAAACGAAACTGAAAATTGTGATTACGTGATCAACTTTTGAAATAAGTTGTAAATAAATTTACTTTCGAAATTATGTAAAATACATTGTTTTATTGGGGCAGAAGGTGACCTGTAGCCCTCAAATTATTTTATCGATGGTTGATCATTTACA